TTAATTTATATATATATATATATATATATATATATATATATATATATATATATATATATATATATATATAGGGTTCTTCTCTCTTATTTTGTAATTTTGTAAGCACAATATACAGACTTTACATAATAATAAAATCTTTTCTTACCTCTCGATGCTTCTACCATTTTTGATTGGTGCCTTCTTCTCCCTTCAGACGTCGCGCACTGCTGCTGTCGTGGAGTCGCCTCACATGTTCTCTCATTCGTAGGAGAGCCAGCTGGTTTAGGTGCTCGAGGATTTTTGTCTCGTGAAGCCTCCAACGTAACTATTGTCTCTTGCGGGTTGGACCGCTTCTTTTGGGCCTATGCTTTATCCAACAGCGGGCTCCGCTTTTCTCAATATTCATCATCTTCATAGTAGATTTGTTCTTTACATTGGCAGACATCTTCTTAACTTTGGTCTTTTTCTTGTATACCTATTTTCTGCCAATGTGTCGAATACTTTTTGGCAAACTGTATTGTTGCGTTCAGTTTTCTCGATCTGCTCATCCATTGCCTTTTTCCATTTCTTATCTTACACGACCCTTCAAAACTCAAGTCTTCAGCCCCTTCTCCCACAGAAGCCCCCATGATTTCTCCAACATGTGGTGCAACGATTTTTAGTTTTCTACTTCCAGTCTCCAAGCTTCCTCTTATGATTTTTGAGATTCTACTTTCGATTTTTGAGATTCTATTTTCAATTTCTTAGGTTCTCATACCTGGGTACTTACTAATATATTGTTCTTCTTTTGAAACAATGGACTATGTCCACTTCATACTAACAAACTGAGCTCCTTTTAAGTTATTCACTCACTCCAACAAGTTCTCAAAGTTATTCGAACTATTTAGATTATCTACCAACTATTCAAGTTTTTCACCAAATTCATTACATGTTCTACCAAATTATTTGAGTTGCTTACTTACTCGCTCAATTTCTCCTTAACCTTCATCTTCCAACAAAATAAAATATGTTTACTACATTATTTCCAAATTCTTTGCTCAATAAATTAATCAAGCTCTCTACATTTTCCTTTGAATTATGTACATCAACAAAATCACACAGAGGCTTAACGTGATGGTACAATTTGTGTACCAACAATATATGTATACAAGTTTATAATATGGAAAATGAATTATAAATTTATTTTATCCTAAGAAATAATCTTTATAAAGTAACAAATTTAAATTATGTTTATAAATACTTTTATATTTAGTTTTACATTTAAATTTTAAAGTGTTTATTATTTACATAAAACAAATATGTATAAAACATGAACTTAATTATTCTTTTGCTAAATTTTAATTAATTACTTAATTTAAGTGTTAATTACTTAAAATAAGGAACAAAATAACTTTTAAAAGCATAAATGAAATTATCATTCTAAAAACCCAAATTAGAATCAAAATGTAACAGAATACTAGTTTAATAGTATGATGTGTGATTTTTGATAGTAGTTGTCTTTCACTCCTAATTCACTAATCTAATTATTGATCCACTAATCCCATGTGATGTCCTAACCGAGTCCTTAATCCCTCCTATTTTAATAGACTTGTATTATTGACCCAAATAAGTTTGACTTACACGCCTTACAAAAAGTATCCCAAAGGTAGATCGCAAACAAAAAATAAAATATTATTTTTTACAGTACGTATTTTAAAAAGGTATTTTTATATAAATTTGTAAACACTTTTATACCATGTTAAATCATCACGGTTATATATGTTAAATTTACTAATTTTATAAAAAAATGTATTAAAATATTTTTAATTTAAGAATAAGTATTCTTTCAAAGAAAGAAATACTATAAATATTTTCCGTTCTCTTTAAATTACAAATTATTTTGAAATATAAGTTAATTAATTTTTATTAAAATATACTACTAATAATTTATGGCTAGATAATAATAAACATTTTTTATATCATGACTAGTCATTAAACTTATATTTTCTTAATTTTTCATATTTGGCATTTGAAGGGTAAAGTTCTATTTTTACACAGAAGCAAGATAAGATAAGAATTTCAATTTTTTTCATGAGTGAGTGTACTATATATAGTAGTTAATTGCAGAAGGGGAAGCTTACAAGATTGGTTTGGTGAAGAGAAGTGAAGTGAAGTGGTGTTGTAATGGCGGCAGGTGATGAAGAGTTGACCCTTCTGGGAGTTGTGGGAAGCCCATTTCTGCACAGGGTTCAGATCGCTCTCAAATTGAAGGGAATAGAATACAAATACGTGGAAGATGATTTGAACAACAAGAGTGATCTTCTCCTCAAGCATAACCCTGTTTACAAAATGATTCCTGTGCTCATTCACAACGACAAGCCAATATCAGAGTCCCTTGTGATTGTTGAATACATCGATGACACATGGAAACACAACCCCATCTTGCCTTCGGATCCTTACCAGAGAGCCTTGGCTCGTTTCTGGGCTAAGTTCATCGATGACAAGGTAACAACTCTTACATCCTTTCTTTCCTCAAACTAAATCTCGTGTCAATTTTCTGTGCCTTGATTTGTTGCTTGATATTTGGTCTGGCTGGAGAGTAGTTTCAGATCTATTTACCCTAATAATGGTTTTGTTTAGTTGTAATTGTTTAATAAAGATGGTGAATTAATTTGTGAGATCAGTGTGTGGCTCCAGCGTGGAAATCTGCCTTCATAGTTGATGAGAAAGAGAAAGAGAAGGCTGTAGAAGAGTTATTCGAGGCTCTTGGGTTTCTTGAGAATGAGCTGAAGGGGAAATTTTTTGGTGGGGATGAGATTGGGTTTGTGGATATTGCTGGAGTGTTCATACCTATTGTTCAAGAGATTGCAGGGTTGCAATTGTTCTCGAGTGAGAAATTTCCAAGGTTGTATAAATGGAGCCAAGACTTCCACAACCATCCGCTTGTGAACGAGGTTCTGCCTCCTAAAGACCAACTTTTTGCCTATTTCAAGGCTCGGGCTCAAAGCCTTGCTGCTAAAAGGAAAAATTAGTACATTATAGTCAGACTCCATTCCAAAGAATCTTAATCGTCTGAAAGCTAGTTGTACGCGTGGTTAGTTAATGTGGTTATATTTCCCTTTTAATATGAACGTGTGATGACATGGGGTTTCTCCATGTGAAAAAAAAATCCAATCCTATGATGTTGTTGACATTTTCGATATTTCAATTCAATCAATAAAATATGTGGGTGAGTAGTACTAATTAAATGGTACTCCTTCTACACTAAACACATATTTGATCAACAAAAATCACCTCGATCACACATTATTTTTTTTTTAAATTACACACTTGAGTAGGTTATATACAAAAAATTAAAAAAAAACTTACTTTTAAATATGAATTCACTTTCTAATCTTCTAAAAACAACTTATTTTAGAGGAAGAATTTGAACAACCAACGAATGAACTAAATGCGTATAATCAAAGACACAATGTGGTTTACTGTGAAATTTTTCACTATCGGAATAATGAATTAGACCATTATCTGCAATTGCATACAAAAATCGAAGCATATTACGCAAGTTAATATGTCAAATCTACACTATTGTGCAAACACAAAAATGCAAAAAAAGATAATGACAATTATGCTCATCACAACGGGTTAAAGTTTGCTTTTCAATGACGAAATTGTGTTGGTTTAAAGATTTATTTCTGAACAAGTCTTATTCTTTCATTGTGGACTTCTTATTGGGGCAACTTAGTCATGAATTTTCTTTGTCATTGAGGTTTGTTTGTTAAACTTTTCATTTTCATTTGTGAGAGTGATTATTTATTGGGAAACTTAGTTATAGACTTCTATGAATGTCTCTTAATTTGTATGTCGCAATTGTCATTGTAAGAATATGTTGTAGTGGTAAAAATAAATTTTCATTTTTTTTTACTTTCATGCCATTTAAAATGGAAATCAAACATAGGTTCTCACTTTGATTCATTTCTAACACCAATAGAAAAACTACTATGAAATGAGTATTTCTGAACTTGTTTCAATTTAGGGTGTTGTGTATCAAATTAATTTTTTTTTATAAAGTTGAAGATGAATAGTTAATAGAAAAGTAAAATTTAGATAAATGATGGACCACTTAGGGGGAAAATTGATTTTTTACTAGTTCAAGGGTATTCATGCTCAACGGTAATACCCTTACACTTGTACAACTCAATCTTCTTCCTGTGTGGCCCAACCTTTGTCCTAAGTTTGACTTCTTTGTTCACCAACACTTCTTCACCTTTATGAAAATCCTTCATTGATATGCAACATACTAAACTGAAATACGTTCATAAATGCTCATTTCATACATGTTTTTTTATTGGTGCAAACTTTATGTCGGACTTGGTATAGCCTGACAAAATAATTTGTTTTACATCGGTTGTGATATAGTTTGATGTAAATTTATGTTGCATGTTTTTCATTCGATGTAAACCTATGTGTCATGCATTAACAGTGAATCAAAAATTGATGTAAAAAACCAAAATAACTTATATAAAAGGTCTTTGTTGTGTTAATGCTTGCTCATATAAATTCCCGATTATTTAACTAACAATTCCATTACAACTCTAGCCTCCCAAAGATTCATCTTGGTGACTCAAAATTCACATTCAAACACAACTCTCAAAGCATGCAAACCACTCACACATAAACAATTCAAAAGATACAAGAACAAAATTTACTCTAAACATAAATATAATAAAGAGGATATGTTCTACTATTTGTTATCTCCATTTAAGGTAAGTTCATAATCTTGAAAATAATATGTTTTGATATAGTTTGATGTATGTTTATGTTGGTGTTTTTCATGTGACATAACTACAAAAATACATGGAATTACCGACGGAAATAATTACGTCGATAAATGATGCATTACCGACGAATTTTATCGACGGATGTAAAAATGTAATTACCGATGGATATTTGTCCTTCGGTAATTATCAACAGACAAAATCTGTCGGTAAATTCTTCAATAATTATCGATGGACAAAATTCGTCGGTAATTCCGTCGATAATACATATTTTAGTTACCGACGACCAAAATTTGTTGGTAAAGCCTCCGATAATTAGCAATGAACCAGTTCCGTCGGTAAATCCGTCGGTAAAAAGAACGCAAAATTTCCGCCCATTTTTTTTCTCTCTGTGCGAAGAATACTATATTTTTCTATCTCACAAAACACTTTCGTCATTTTTTCTTTCCTCTCATCTCAAGACCATTTCTCACCTTCTCTGCAACCATTTTTCTCTCTCGTGCAACCATCTTCCCACACTACAACCGCTATCGTTGCCATGGGAGAACGCCACCCATGCCGTGGGAGAACCACTGCCGTCGAAGAACCATGCGGAGTAGTGCTGCCGTCGGGATGCTCAAAAACTAGTTGGCAATTTTTCCCAATTTTAGGGTTTCTAAAACAATTGGAGAACCTAAGTAGAGCCTTTGATTTTGGTTTTGGAATGAATTGGATAGTTGTTTTGATTTAAGAATGAAGAAAGTTTGATAAAAAAATTAAAATTTGAGGAAACCGAAGAAGGGGAAAGAGGAAGAAGATGAACCAGATCGAGATATTTACCGACGGACTTATTGACGGCTTTTTCCTTAGGTAATTATCGACGGACTTTTGTGGTAATTACCGACGAATTTGGCCTTTGATAATTACCGATGGCCATAATAATCCGTCGATAAATATTACTGACAACGTTATTATCAATGGACCAAACTCCGTCGGTAAACCGTCGAAAAAATAACATTATCGACGAATTTTGAACGTTTTTGACCGAAAAATAATTGTTTTTTTATGTATCATATATTAACGTTGAATAATAATTGACGTAAAAATCCCAAAATATCTTATTTAAATGTTTTTTTTATGTTAGTGTATGTTTATATAAAATTTTGATTATTTAACTAAAGGTTTACCACTCTAGACAATTAGTAATTCATCTTTGTCACTCAAACTACTCAAGTAAACACATTTATCACATCAAATTACTAATATATAAACAACTCAAGAGAAATGTGAATTTTTTTACTCTAAACATAAATATGATGAAGATGATGTGTTTTAGGTAAACTCATTCTCTTGAAGAAAAGTAAGAAAATTTAATTTTAAAATATAATGTTTTTTCTAAAATAAAATTTGAATTGTTAATTTTTTTATTTATTAATTTTTTAACTTATCTAATAAAATATTTATTTTTTACTTCTTATAATTTAAAATTAAATTATTAAGTTTTTACAAGATAAATACAAATATTTATTCCTAGAGTAATATTTCACAAATAATTAATTTTTTCTATTTTATATATTTTTTATGCCCCCGTATATTAATATCTGAATGCTTTAAAATGTTGACCAATTATTTTCTTACAAAAAAAAATCGCCTGTAGTTTTGAAATATAAATATAGAATTTCTATAAGTTATAAAAACTAACATAAGAAGTGTCAGAACCATTAAAAATCCACTCAGGATTCGTTTTAGTGGAGTTCACGTGTCAAGAGGGAGCTCGACAATCAGATGGTGGAAGACAGGTGTTAGCAGCTGAGCGGACGTTTGTTTTGATGTTAGAAGAAAAACTCTAAGTTTTCAAACTTCACGTCACTCTCTGCATGCAACCTTCCTCCCCATAATTCTGAAATCTCCTCCTTCTCTCTAAATCTCCTTCATCTTCTCTCTAAGAAATCCTCACCGTTTCTTACTCCGATCATCACTCAAGCACCATTTCCACTCTTCTGGTGTCAAGAGCTTTTGATTGAACCGATCGGTTTGTGAAGCTGAGCTGGTAAGTTCTTCTCTTCACCAGCCATGCGGTTTTCTGGACATGCAAACCAAGTTCTGGTTTCATGTGCTATTTACTTTCTAAAATTTGTAGTTCTGATAGTGTTTTGATTTTACTTGGTTTAGTTTTGGAGAATTGTTGAGCGTTAAGGGTAGAAGGACTTGTAGTGGTGTGAACTGTATTCTGCCTCTGTGAACGTTCGGTCACGCTCAAAGGTAAGGGAAGCTTATATAACTTGATTTGTATGTTTGTTTGGATTGTATGTACGTTCGTTGAATTGACTGAATTAATATGAAATATGATTGTTGCTATGTTTTGATTGTATGAAGTATGGAAATTTACTAAGATATGAATGTATGAAATTATGAAGATAAATGTTGAGAAATGTGTTGAGATAAACAATTCTAAGTATGAAATTCCCTATGATAATGTATGTTCGTTACTGAATGGTCTTTGACCGTTCGGTTTTTCTCGGGGACTCGTTTAGAACTGGATTCTTTCATTTGGAAGGAATTTATGTTGAGGACGAGCGTCTTCGTCTAGTACAATTTGTGTACAGGCGTTCCACCAAGGATATCCTTTCCTTGGTATTTTAATATAAATTTAAGTATATCTTTGTAGTAGTATGCCTGTTCATTCTTGAACATTAGTCAAATGAGATCTTATATTCACCAAACGCTCGTACGATTTAGAGATAGGTCTTTCACCAAGCGCTCGTATTATTTAATCCTAGGTCTTTCACCAAGCGCTCGTACGATTTAGAGTTAGGTCTTTCACCAAGAGCTCGTACTATTTAGTATTGGGTCTTACACCGAGCGCTCATTCTCTTTTCTATAATCTACCTTGATAAAAATAACGTACGATTTAGAGTTAGGTCTTTCACCAAGAGCTCGTACTATTTAGTGTTGGGTCTTACACCGAGCGCTCATTCTCTTTTCTATAATCTACCTTGATGAAAATAGCGTTCGTCCAAAACTCAATGGTGTTCACTCTCTACCGTGCTCGGTCTTTGACTGGCATTCACTTTTCTTGATGTTAAACTCCAATAATCTAAGTAATTATAAGCGTTCGATTTCTTCATATATTTCTTTTAAGTACTATTAATTGAATGTCTTGTAGTGTCTGTCTCCATTGGTTTCAGCCTAGCGTCTTAGTACTCGGTCTAGGCTTTAAGGTGTTCAGTCTAAACGCTCATGGGTCAATTCATCAAATTGACTCACGCTGTAAATAACGTTCGATCCTTTAAATCTTGAGAATTATTATTGAACTCGGTCTCTTCTCAATCCCGATGGTAATTCTCTATCGGTTTTGATCTGTTCTGGAACTGGAAACCTCTCGGTCTCAGTCCAAGTGTTCGGTCTCGTTAAAGGTTGAAGTTTTACGTTTGGTATTTGGTATCCTAAGGGATCTTCGTTAAAAATTGATGTTTGAAAATAAAAGATGATGGAATATGATGTAGATGAAATGAGTATGATTTTGAACGAGTATTCCGGGGAG